CGATTTTGGCGTTGTTCCTCCGTCTGATTAACTCGTCTCAGACGCGCACGTTCTCTCAAAAGAGAAAGTCGATTTTCATGTTCTTCTTCTATGTCCGCCTAAGCCTGCTCGATTGCATTTGGGCTGGTTGGTTCAGTGCGTGCGCTTTCAATATTGATATCGCTACGTACACGTCTGTTGGAAGAACATTCAAATTCAGGCATGCGTATTTGAGCGACTGCATTGTTCTTAAATGTTTTCTTTTCAGGAGTCTTAAAGAAAATAGTTTTGAAAATAAAAATTGTTAAAACATTTATTTAAGGTGTAATCGCTTACTTTGACATTAGATAATAATAATTGATTGTTATTCTCTTTCTCGTAGAGAAGAGTCCAGTAAACATAAATTGTCTGATTGCTTGCTTGCTTGCTTGTGTGTCCGCAGGGTCAAAAAAACATTTAGATTTAATTTTTCAGATACTTCCGAAAAACTTTGGCTGGGGGGTAATCGAGGGCGGGAAACTTGAATCTAAGATTGATTTATTAAAATTAACTAGTTAATAATCAGTTAATAATTGGTATTATTAATTTTTGAAATATTTTCGGAAAAGCTGGACCCAAGGGTAATCGAGTATGGAGAACTCGAATAGAAGATTCATTTATTAAAATTAACTAGTTAATAATCAGTTAATAATTGATATTATTAATTTTCGAAAAAAGTTTGACCGAAAGGTAATCGAGTGCCAAGAATTCGAATGTGAGATTAATTTCAGTTAAATACCAATAAATAATTAGTTAGTATTAGTAATCTTAAAGATAGTTCCAAGAAAATTTTACAAGAGGGTAATTGGAGAATCGATTTTTAGAAAAAGACATTTCTAGAGGTTTTCCGATACGGGGAGTTCGAATTTGAGGTCTGTTGGGTGACTATGGTTAGGGTTGGGTGGGTGGGTGTGGGTGAAAGGTCAAAAACACATTGAAAATCGATTTTCTGAAAAACACATTTCTTAAGGTTTTTCGATGCGGGGAGTTCGAATTTGAGGTTAGTTTTCAGAAAATTTTTGTGGATCATGTTTTCTTATAAAAACAGATCTCTTGCAAGGAAAAAATGATTTTGTATAAAGTTTTCTCAAAGATTATAGGAGTGGGAAATCTTTTAATTAACTATTAGCCAAGTTTTTATTGTCAGTATTTTTATGAAATTTGGTTACAGATGATCCAGGACTTAGAACTCAAATATAAGTCAGACTTAAATCACTCAATAAACGAGATGGTATTGTATGTATGAGTGAGAAAAGAATTATATATGCATACTAAATAAATAGTCGAAAGTTCAAGCGGAATCATATACCTGACAACAAAACTGAACTTCTTCCCGGTCTCTTACCTT